CCTCTTTATGGTTGCTAGAGCTTTGGAGCATTTGTCTTCAGCAGTGATACTCTATGTGGAAGGAAGAGCATTAACAAAGTTTATAGTAAGTGTTTTATGAACTGTAGTGCAGCTGTAAAAGTAAGGAAAAGCATTTAAAGTGTATCACAGCCTTACCTCCCCTGAGGCTGTTGTGAACTGTGCGTGCATGCAGAGGCTCGGTGCTCCCCATGTCACCATTGACTCAAATAGCTCTCCTTCCTTGCAAAAATACTGATGAATTTTAAACCTATGCATGCCAAGTACTTTGTTCATTGCTGCTTGAGGAAGCTCTGAGATGCAGCTGATTCTGCTGAGCGCTGAGCGTGGTCTTTGGTGGGAGGTGTGGGGCCAAGTACCTTGGCAGCCGTGCCAGTGAAGTGCCTCCACATCGGCATCCGTTGCCACTTCCATAGATTTCAGGCACTTGAGAGCCTTATCTTGGTGGCCAGACAGCAGCCCAGTGTGGGCAGCAAGGGTATGTGCTGCCTTCCTCTGAAACGCTGGAGAGCGGCCACAGGCTGCACACTGCGGAGCCCGCAGGCTTTGGGCAGCAGCGGAGTCTCCTATCACTCATCAATGTAACGCTATAATCCACTGCGAAACCCTTATTCAAGGCCATGTGTGGTTTAAAGTGGCAAGCGAGCGATGAACTTGAAGGATGGGATGTGACAAGTGATTTTACTCGATCACGAATATCTAGTTTCAGGATTGTGAGAATCTGGGGGGAAAAATGCTTAGTTGCAGAACAGTCGCACGCGTGCTGACCGCCTGCCAGGGCTGCAGCGTCTAGACAGAGAATACAGAGAAGCAGGTTGTGTCACTTCAATGTGATGTCTGAACCTGTTAGTTTGAAACATATTTTGGAATAAAAATTATGCAGAATTAAATTAGTGTGACCTTACTTTGCATTTGGAGGCTGAATATGCCCATCTTGTAAAGCCTCGTGCATTTATAACACTTCCCTTGGGGAAAATTACAGAGAGGAATGGAATGAGGTCTCTTCTAATTGAAAAGTGACAATGATTAGGAAGCCAAATACAAAATGTGTTGAGTACTTTTTGTCTTGTTTTGTTGTGTGTGTGTTTTTAAGAATACCAGTAGAATTATAAATTATGTGCTCTGCAGTTTGGCTTGGTTTTCATTCCCCCAGAGGCTTTTTATTAGCATAGCAGCTGAATTGCACTTGTATAATAATGTATTAACTCCAAGTTTGGGGTTTTAATGATGTTTCTTCATTAGTTTGACTGGGCTGATTGGCTAAAATCTCACCAAGTGTATCCAGCTTTCTAGTGTGTTGGGTTTTCCCCCCTCCTTCTGCAAATGAAGCCCGTAAAGACAAGTTAAAACAGAGGGAGAGTTGGCAGAAACTTTGGTGCCTCAAGTGGGTATGAGTCTTGAAACTTGAAAAGCACAAATTGAGTGTGTGGGACTTGTTTGGTTTGACTTTTATTTTTTTCAAAGGCCAGATTGGGCAACATGGGCATTCATGGGATTAAAGCTCATCTCGCCATACCTGATGTTTGCTCCGTGGCACTGTGAGGCTGTGCTGCTCCTCACAGGCTAGGCTTGGGTAGAGTGAAGCTCAGTGCAGTGCTTCACTCTTCCCTGAGCTCCTGTGGGTGCAGGGAGCAGCTTCCTCGTGGGTTTGGCCTCCCTGTGTACATGAAGCATTGGGAAGAAATCCTAATTTTCTCTCCAAAGGAGACATGGGTGCAGATGCATTTCTTGCAGATGCAGATACAGAAACATTTGAGCCCTCGTCTGTGTTGCAGGACGAGGGTAGATGTGCTCTGCTGCAGTGCCTGAGTTCTTTGCTTCCTTGTGCTAGTGATGGAGAAGGGAGAAGAGCATGGCCATTGGCATGAAAAGCACAAAGTCCAAGCAGGGGGAGCTGATCAGGTTTTATCATTCTAACATGTTTCACCAAACCCATTTACAGAACATTAATTTGCAGCTTCATTGTTCTCATTCCTCCCACAAAGCAGGATATTAAAATCGCTGTGCTGTTGTTAACACCACTGTGATTGCTGTAACGTTAGACTGGATTCCCCATTGAAATAACCAAATGTAGAGTTTGAAGAGCAAGGCCAAACACTGCACCTCCTGGCCATGCCGTGTGGCTCCTGGGGCAGTCCAGCCCACCCAGATGATTAGCTCCAAGGAGAACATGGGAGAGAAACATGGGGCAGGAGGAGTGTCGCTGATGGAAATCAGTATCCCCTTTGTTCTGGTTGTGCCTTGCTGTTGGCAACTCTTTGTAATACTCCAATTACAGGAATCCCAGAGCCAGAACAAACAACGTTTGGAGCTGGATGGGGATGGTTGAGATGCTGCTGTGCTGTCCCAGATCCTGATGGAATTCCCACCCTTTATTCTGCTTCGGGCTCTGCTTGTTACATGGCTGTATGTGTGTGAAGGAAGCTTGGCTTAGGTTGTTTGTAAATGACATGTCTTGTGTGTGTTCCTTCCTAGGAAGGAATTAGGGCAGCGCTAATGATGGCCAAACTTCACCTGTGTCACCAAAGTACTGTGACCAGTATAGCAAGGTTTGGTTCATTTAAGGGACTTTTCGTCCTAGGAAAGGAACTTTCCCTTGTAACTGCTTTGGTCTTGTTTTTCTTCAGAAATATAACCTCTTTTACCAGAAAAGGAAGTTTTCCATCACTGGCCCCATTTATGTATTTTTTCTCTTGTGTTTTCTTACTGTGGCCAAAGCACATGCTGCATTTTGAGGCTGAATTGACTCATCTTCCTAAAAACATTGCTTGGTGTTTGTTTTCTTCTTTTCAGTAATGAAAAAGGGTGCAGCAGCACCAGGGCATGCCTTCGGGCTGTATGGGGACATGCTCTTACATGGGGGGTGCCATGGGAAGAGGCAACTTGCTTTTTGTTTTTAATGGTTTTGCGTCAGCCTCTTCTCCCAACGCTTTGACTTCTGGTGTCTTTGTGCGTCCGGTTAATCTCACTGGAACCTCCTGTTCCAGCCCATTCCTCCAGCCCAGGGCCACCCATGGCTGTTCTCAGGTCCCATCACTCATCATTCCCATAGGTGATCTGTGCTGCTGCTTTGGGGCTGGATCATGAATTGTCGGGAATGTGCTTTTTACCAGGCTCTTCCCCTCATAATGGCATTCAGGCACCTCACTGGGGTTGCTGTGAAAGACCCAGAGCTTCTCTTTAAGAAGATGCCTTTAACTAAAAGTCATTTTTAAGGCCAAACTCCTTTGCAGTGTTTGGCTTTTAATCCCTCTCTTCCCACCCCATGTACAATCTTCTGGTGTAGAGGCAGCTGCTTTTTAAGGGTGCCATAAGTGTATGGGCTCCAAGTCACTCATACATCTAATTTCAAGTGACAGATAAAGCTCCTGCTTTCAAGGCATAATTCTGCTTTTTGAAGGTGGTGGGCAGAGCTGGTTAAGCATTTTGGGCAGAAATAGCGCTGTTTAGCAGAATGAGCTCCAAGGTAACTGGCAGCACTCACCACCTGGACTGTTTTCTTGACATTTATTTGCTTTTACTGGCACTTAAATGCCACCTGCCAGGAGAAAACTTTCCATAAAAAAAGGTAAAATTCAATTTGCCTGACTCAGCAGAAGCCACTCCGGCTGGTGTGAGTGGTGTGATGCTGCCCTTGGAAGGCATGGTGGCTCTTCTTGTGTATCTACAGATACATATTATACGTGTGTGTGTCTGTATATAATATACAGAATGGCAGTGTCTGTGATAGCTCAGGGCACAGCTTTCTAAAACTGGGTTTTATAGCTGTCCCTGCTGAGAAGCAAACAAAGTGTAAATCCTCAGAACCATTGAATTTTGCTGGTCTGGCCCCTCCTTTACGATGAGCACTGGAGCTGCTGCTGCCCTGTTCTGTTCACAGGGGAGCCCTGGGTGCTGCTGGCACAAGGGGTCATATGGGGAGCAACCGAGCAGTTTGGACCCAGTGGCTGCTCTATGGGTGCCTGATCCATGACCCCAGTGCTACATTTGCCTCCTGTACTCAGTTTTCCTGAGCCTGAGAGGTGAGGAATTAACTTCCTCAGGAAATTTTAGGAGCGGCTTCTTACTGCCTGCTGCCATGCGTCTCTGGAGTTGACCGGATAGCCCGTTGTTTGCTTGTTCGTGTTTGTTTGGAGGATGTTTCTCCAGCCTTCCTTTATGCCCGTTCAAGCCACTCAAGCTGCTGCTGTCAGCTGGCCGAACCCTGAGCCAAGGGATGCTTGGAGCTGCGGGATGTGGCCCCTGTGGGCAGCCGCATCGCGCCCATCTGGTGTCTCACCAAGAAGGAGGAGGGCTCCCTGCCTGTGCCCTATGGTGGAGGGGCCAGCATTGGGAAAAGGGGGTCTGCCTGTTATGCTGTGCCTCTGGCACCCCACACCACTGTCTGACCCCTGTGACAAAGGGAACATGTGCCTGATGCAAGGGTATGCCCAAGGGGGACTTCTTCTCCAGGGAGAACTGGACTGGAGTGGTGGTGATGGGAAGGGAATTTCAGAAATTTAGCTTGCATTTAGCTAAAGTGTTCTGTTAGGATGGTTTATTTATAATTAACAAATAAATAAATAATTATAATAGTTAATATTATAATTATGCTGGTTCTTGGCTCCATGGCCCCAGGCAAGGCACACTCAGTACTGAGATGCTGCTGGTTTTGCACTGGTGGAGGAGGTATCCAGCACACTGCAGCTGGGGGGGTCTTTGGGAAGTCCTGTCTGCATTGTAGCTTGAAATGCTCTGCTTTGCAGATTGTTTTTAAAGATCCCTCCCAGAGACTCTTCTGTGGCACTAAATATGTGAATTCATGAGCTTCATTAAACAAGTAGCTGGGCTCAAAGCATGCAGAGCCCAGTTAGGCATGTGTGAGAGCTTTATGGGGGAAGGATGCAGCGGTGTCACTGGAGTCTCATCCACATTAGCAGTTTTTGTGCTCAATTACATGCTGCTTTTTCTGGTGCCTTAAGGTCTGTCTGTCTCTCTTGCAGCGGAGTTGGAGTTTGTACAGATAATCATAATCGTGGTGGTGATGATGGTGATGGTGGTGGTGATCACGTGTCTGCTGAACCACTACAAACTCTCTGCGCGATCCTTCATCAGCCGGCACAGCCAGGGGAGGCGGAGGGACGAGAACCTCTCTTCAGTAAGTCATGCCCTGGTCTTCCAACCCACTTCATCCTGCGCTGGTTGTCAAATGATGTGACACTGGGGACGCGTTAGAGCCAAAGGCATTCATATGGGTCCTGTTTGCCCATGTGCCACTTGGCACTGCATGAAGAGGCACTGTCCAGGTTGGATCTTGGCATCATCTTCTGTCTCTGTTATTGGGGGGAAGCTGTTATGGGTGCCTCTGGCTCTGTATGTTGTAATACATGGACAGCTGTAGCCTTTGCCCTCAACTTTGCAATTCAGACTTTACATCAGTGAAGTAATGGTAGGAGACTATTCTTGATGTTGGTTTTTCAGGAACAAGACACAAGTTGCCCTCAGCTGTTCGGGGTGCATTGACTTTAACAGCCCCAAACTATCAAGTCCATTGGCAGCTCCAGTTGCAGTGTCTCAGATTATTATATAAGTACTTATTGCCTGCCTTGAAGAGAATAGGAAATCCTGAAAGACTTTCTTCAGTTTTCACCAGTGGTGCTGGTGGTGCAGGGGTCAGAAAACACTTGTCAGCCAGCCAGGCATCTTTCCAAAGGGATGCTCGAGAGATTCCCTGTGTAACCCAGGCTCTGCGCTTCATAAAAGCCTGAGGAGAAACGTGTTAATTGTATCTCTGACAGTGACTCGAGGGGGAGCCTCTCCAGCCTCGAAGCAGATGTTGGTTTTCGTAGTTTCCTCAAATGCAGGAGCTCAGAGAGACTTATAAGAACCCAAAGAGAAAAACCATCCCCTTTCCTTGGAGGCTGAGCATGCACCATTCACTGCTGTCTCTGTCTTCAGCACAGGGATGTCATGTACTGGTGCTATTTTATTTTTCTTAGTATTCACCCTGAAGGATCTTTAAGCTCCTTAAACTACAGGGCTTCCTCAAGGTCACTGCTTTGTGCCCTCCCTGCTGCAGGTTTCCAGGGCAGGCTGAACACACTAGTGCTGCCTTGTGGTGGTCTGTGTGGGGCCTTGTATTGAATCCGTGCTTGCTGCTGGTAAAAGATCTAATACTGGGATTGCTTTCTTTTTTCTTCTGTTTCCGTCTATTTTTTTCCTTTCTATTTTTTGAGAAAGAGAGCAGGCGCACAAGACAGCTGTCTAACATCTTCTATTTCATAAGTCTTCAGTACAGTGCTGTTGAATGCTGTCCAGTCAGCAGATGTCCAGGGCATAGCCTGTCCCTCCGCTCCATAGCTGCTCTTTGTTGCATGAAGATGAAGGTCCCTTAGACACTCAGTACTGAAGTGAGGAGGGCGGCCCTTGGGAAGGAGAGCTGTGCAAACCCCAGGCTCAACTAAACCACTTGAGTGCTGTGGGCTGTGGAGCGTGTCTCCAGAGGGCATGGCAGTGAGCTCAGCTTATGGACCTGTGTCAGTGCTGTGCAACAAGATCAAAGTGCTGAGGGTGTGTGATCCCACGTTACACCAGTCAGTGGTGACTGCTCAAGCACCTGCCTGCTTTGGGGATCAGAGCTAAACTTCCCTGCACATATCCCGGCTCCTTACGGAGTTACAGAAATCCTATGTCTCTTGTCACCATTCCGTGTACCCGCTTCCAACAGCAGCAGAACGTGAGCATCCGAGCATGTGAATTATTAAAGATAGCAGAAAGGTGGTTTTCCCATTTTCATTTTTTTTACTGGTTTTTCATGTCCAGAATGATTCCTGGTTTACTTGAGCAATACCAAAATGTTTAATTTTACATTTTTCTAAGAAAATCTCAGATCAGGCATGTTTTTATTTTAAAATACTAATCTCCATTTCTGAAAGCGGCCTGACTTTCTCTCTCTTTTAAAAGAGGAAAGAAGGCTGACATGGAGTAAATCACTTGGCGATTGAACGGAAATTTAGGTTGAATCAAAAATTATTGACTATTTAAATATTTATTGGCTTTTTTTGCCTTTTCTCTTTTCAAACTTCACCAGGCCAGAATTTCCAGCCAGTTTTTGGCCCAGTCCCCACACCAGACCAGCTCTGTCATTATTCAGCCTTCAGACACATCAGTGATGAAATCACTTTTCAGCAAAGGTTTACCTGTGTGCCTCTGTTAAACCTCCCTGAGGATGCAGGCACTTCAAAACCATTCTCAGAGCTACAGGGAGAAAAAGCTGATGTATCAGGGGTTTTGTTGGGTGTGTTTTGGGGGCTTTTTCCCCTCTTTGTAATTCTTCCCTTTCTCCCTGCCCTGCCTCTCTGTCTGTACTGTGCTGTGAGTGCGTGGTTCTGTGTTGATGGAGTGGCAGCCATGCTTCCCTGTGGCCCGAGCTCCTGACAGGACAGAGAAGCCCCTCATGCACTAAGTGGGAAGCTCATTACAGTGGGATCAATTGTAATAAAGATCATAGAATCGTAGGACAGTTAGGGATGGAAAGGACCTTAAGGTCATCCAGTTCCAACCCCCTGCCATGGGCAGGGTTGCCTCACACTAGACCATGTTGCCCAAGGCTCTCTCCAACCCAGCCTTGAACACTGCCAGGGATGGAGCATTTACCAGTTCTCTGGGCAGCCTGTTCCAGTGCCTCACCACCCTCACAGGGAAGAACTTCTTCCTTATGTCTAACCTGAATTTCCCCTGTTTTAAGTTTAAACCCATTCACCCCTTCTCCTATCACTACAGCTGTTAAAGGGAGCTCCTGTTGAATATCAGCACAGCATGTCTTTCCAGTAGAAAACAGCTCCGGTTTGAATGAGTGCTGAAGGTTGGCAGGCAGAGGCTATGCTGAACTGGAGACTGGTTTATGTTATCCATTAAACTTGTGTTGACCTGCTGTTGGGCTTTCCAAATCCCAAACTTCATTTTGCTGTCGTGACTGCAGATGGACACCGGAGCTGTATGCGTGCTTTTCATCTTTTGAAATATTAAAGTAGTTCATCCCATGGTTGGGATGCTGCTAGGTCTGCCAGGGTTGTCCTTTCTTGTTGTAGCTCAAAAATTGCCACCAAAGGAGAAACTGATTTCCCTAAGGGCTTTTTTAAATGCAGTTCTTGGTAGCAAGGAATTCTTATATTATGTCATGTATTTCTCCATCCCCATTCTTGCTATACTTAAACTCTGTGTCATTATAACAAGTACCTTCATTTTTCCAGAACTAAAATTACTTTAGAAATGCTACTAAAACTTACACAGTAAGAAAGGTTCCTGCACCTTTGGAGCAGTGATATCCCAGTCCCCCAAGAAAAAGGGGTTCAAATGCCATTTCAAAGCATACCTTTGTCCCCTAAAATGGAAAATACAGGTCCTCCTGCAGGCTCAGAGACTTAATCTGCACCATGCAGCTTTACAGAGAAAATTCTCTGACACCGCTAAAACAAGCAGCTCTATAAAAGTCAAGGATTGATCTCTAAAAAGAAATTAAAAAGTAATTTTAGGTTCTGCAGTGAGTCCTGGAATACTTACGGAGGCTTTTACAGCCGTATTGCTCATCAGACAGCAGGATCTCAGCTTTCATTTCAGAAAGCCATAGCTTTCTAGCCTCAGCCATTGTTGAGATGAATTCAAGTCCTAAACATTCTGAAATGGAGAAGTGAGTGAGGAGAGCCCCGAAGATGGGGATTTACAGCAGCAATGCCCCCTCATGGGTCAGCGCAGTGTTGGGTGGCTTGCTGTGGCTGTGTAGCCATCCCATGGCCAAAGCATGAAGGCTAGAAGTGTGTGTGTTTCCTGTCTCTGAGGCTTTGCCCTCTTCTTGCTACTGATTTTCAGCAGTTTTATTCCCACTGCTGGGTTTTTAGGAGAGATGAGGCTCCATGGGCTTCCTGGTGGTGTGTGAGGCACAGGGTCGGTGTCGGTGAGCGTGCTTGTGATTGGTCAGCCATGGGCACAGAAGTGTGTCCAGGTCAAAGCCCTGGAGTCCTGACAGAAGTGGTTAATCACAGCTGAGCGATCCAGCTCCTACAAAAGGTCTTCTGTCTGCTCCTTGTGCCCCTGCGGATCCCATGGTGTTTCTTCTCGTTTGCTATTCTTGCATCGCATGTTGCCAGGAGCATCACTCCTGGACCTCATCTGTACAAACAGAGGAGTTAATGTGAGAGCCAGGGCTTTTCTTCTGAACGCCCGGGTGGGATATTGAGTGCAGGCTTTGGGTGAGTGATACTTAGGGCTCATGAGTGGTTTGGGTGGAGCAACTCACATAAGGGTGCGTACATGGTCTCCTCATCGCCTGCCGCAGCAGGAAGCCCCAGCTGAGCGCAGTGATGCTCCGCACGCCGGGATGCTCCGGGATGCAGCCACCCTCGTAGGAGCTGGCTGACATCACTCCCAGGAAAGGGGGAAGCAGATGGGATATTGCCATGGCACTGCCCACTGCCAAGTTAAATATAAAACATCTAGCAGAAGGCAGCGGGGTACTCACTGCTCAGGAAGTCTGCCATGGGGGCATGGCAAAGTAAACACAATATTCAAAGTGCTTCCCACTCCTGCCTCCTGCTTTGGCATCCTTCAGGATGAAGTGAAGGGCTGGCAGTGCATGTGGCAGCACTGGAAACCCTCCCCTTACCCTTTGGTCTCAGCACCCTGGCTGAGTGGGGGGTTAAAGGCATAGATTTGGTCTGTGGCAGATGCAGTTCGTCTTGGTTCTTTTGGCTGCTGGGGGAATTTGACTGTAGACTGTCCCTGCAGGCAAGAAATATATGTAAAATGGACCAGACTAAACAGTTGATGCCTTTGTAAACAGTTGCATATTGAAGGCTTAAGGTCTGTATAAAATGTGGTGCTGCATTGTTCAGGAAGGGCTGTGTGGCTCGCAGCTCAATGAGCGTGTTCATTAGCCAGGATGGATTAGCAGGGGAGGGTGCTGGTATTGCAGCACTTAAACTCTGCTCCAGAGAGATGCTTCCTGAAGAACACCTAGAAATTGGAAGAATCTGGGCCATCTCATTTGCATATAAATCACTGTTTTCCTTGCACTGGCAACAGGACCGCTTTGAGGTTTATGTGCAGAACTGAGCTTCAGAAATGGGAATCTGGTAGGATTCTCTCCGTATTTGATACCGTGTGCGATACCACAAGAGAAAATACATTCCAAACTTGGGGAAAATAAGAAAAAAGCAGGGGGTGGGATATTATGACGAGTGGCTTCTCTGGAGATCTTAACACAGTGTTGGTGCTGTGTTTTGGGCAGTTGGATGGGTGTTGTGGATGCCCAGGTGAGGAGGCTCCTGCTGCAGGGCTTGAGGCTGGCTCTGCCTGCAGGGGCATCCCTGCTCTGTCTGCTCTCTGGGGTGCTGCTGTGGTGAGTGGAGATGCTGCTCAGCTGCTTGCTGGGATAGCTGCAGAAGTGTGCAGCGGTGTTTTTCCCTTGTGTACTGCAGCCTGCTATGAGGCCAGATGTGCCTTGCAGCTGGGCAAGGTCCAGGGAGCATCAGACAGCAAAATCCCTTCTGATTTTATCAGTGAAGGTGTTCATGGTGCTGCAGAACCACTGCAGCTTTTTACAGGCTTCCAGCAGGGCTTCAGGCTACCTGGACCACCACCATAGCCATTAGAGAACTATGTGGTTTTATAGCAGGAAAGCTTGTGGTCTGCTCATCTGGGGAGCCCTCCTGGGGCTGGGCCCAAGAATGGCTTTTGGATGGGACAGATTAAAGGGAAAAAGTGGGGGAAAACCACCCTTGGCAGTTTTTTCCCACTGGTGTAAGCACTTCTGCTTGTGCCTGACTTGCTGGTGCCAGAACTAGAGATTCACCTGCAAGGAACTGAAAAGTGCCATCTATTCCAGGTTATAATTATGAGCCTTCTGGCCTTTTTTCCCCCAGCCCTGCCTGCCGGAGGGATGTTGCTATGTGTGAATATTAGCAATATTTAAATACTTCAGTGCTCACGGCAAAAGTGTCCCGGGTGAGCTGTGCACGCGCAGAGCATCACCAGCAAATGGGAAGAACATTTGTTTGTTTGTTTGTTTGATCATGAATTGTAAGCTAATCTCATGGTTTGGGGGAAATTGGCTTGTGGCTTTATCATGCCTGGGGTTGTTGGCACCTGGGTTGGGATCGCAGGATCAGGGTGATGCTTGCAGTGTAGGAAGCCTCTAGATCGCAGTTCCTCATGCTGTTTAAGCCAAGGACCACTTATTTTTTGGGGAAGAACACTCTAGAACCACCCTGTTGCTACAGATTGCTTTTCATTAGTAGGTTTTTTTTCTAGCCAAATCAAAATTAGGCTTAACATTTGGTTATTCACTTACTATCTTTATTTTCCCATTATTTCTTTGATTGTGTGCATCATAATGTGGTTATGTGGGTGTGAGGTGGGTTTGGGGGTTGATTTTTAGGGGGTTTTGTTGTGTTTTGTTTTTTGTTGGTGTTTTATTGGGTTATTTTATATGTATAAATAATAATATATATATATAATCTTGTCATTATTTCATGGAGCATTTTGTGATGTCTTGTGAATCACCCACAGCTCATGGATCACAAATTGGCATGTTGGAACCAGGGAGGGAAACATGTTGGGTGGGTGTGGGTGAGAGGGGGGAAGTCTGCAAATGGGAGAGTTGTTTGCTGGTGTCGTCTCATCATTCATTCTGCGAGTGATCTATTACATGTAAATGGAGGTGAAAATGGAGGGAAATATTAGTCAAAGTGTTGTTTTCAGTGGTAATAGACCCATATGATACCCAGCATATATGATAATAGCTTATACCCCCACCAGGGGTAGTTTCCTGCTTAGAAAAGGGTGCATGCCATGTGTCACTGCAGCAGGGGTAGGGATGTGCTGATGGCAGCAGCAGCATCTTACCTGGGCTCTGGTGCAGGATGAAACCTGGCATGAGAGCTGCTTGCAGGAGCTTAACCACTGCTGGCAGTCAGACTCACTCTGCACTTTCTTCTTTCCAATGCAGGAGGGAAGCCTATGGCCTTCAGAAAGCACCGTGTCAGGGAATGGAATAACAGAGGTGAGGGCAATGTGATTGCGGGTGCTGCTGCCTCTCCTGCTGTCCCAGGCTGCAGTGTCTCACACTTCTCTCACCCTCTTTCTCTCTCTTTTTCTCCCTTTCAGCAGCAAATCTACACCCCGAGACCCAGCGACCGCCTGGCAGTGCCATCCTTCCTGCAGAGGGACCGCTTTAACAGATTCCAGCCAACCTACCCCTACATGCAGCACGAGATTGACCTGCCTCCCACCATCTCGCTGTCGGACGGCGAAGAGCCCCCCCCGTATCAGGGACCCTGCACGCTGCAGCTGCGGGACCCCGAGCAGCAAATGGAGCTCAACAGAGAGTCGGTCCGGGCACCCCCCAACAGAACCATCTTTGACAGTGACTTGATAGATAACTCCGTGTACGGGGGGCCGTGCCCCCCCAGCAGTAACTCTGGCATCAGCGCGACCTGCTATGGGAGCAATGGTAGGATGGAGGGACCGCCGCCGACGTACAGCGAGGTGATAGGGCACTACCCAGGGTCAACGTTTTACCAGCACCAGCAGAACAGCAACGGGATGCCTTCCATCTTGGAGGGCAGCAGACTCCATCATTCACAACTCAATGGCCTTGAGAGCACAACTGCGTGGAACAAAGAGAAAGAGAAACAAAAAGGGCACCCCTTTTAAAAAAAATAAAGGAAAAAGGAGAAAAAAAAAAGAAAAAAGGCAAGAAAGTAAATGAAAACACTCTGCACTTCTCATAGAAAAAGGAGAGAGAGAGAGTTGAGGAAGATGAGCAAAGAAAAAAGCCCTTCCCCATCTCTCCATGTATAAATATTTACTTGTTATGTCTGGTCTGAATGCACAAGCCTCCCAAGCTTGCAAAAACATTTCTTTATTGAGCTGTGTCTAGACCTTTAAAAAGGAAAAAAAAAATCAACTGTAGTCCTTTTTTTTTCTAGTTGAGCTGTGTGTGAATGCTTTTTATTTTGATTATTTCACTTATCTTTAAAGACAAAATATTTGCACAAAAAAACCATTTTGTTTAAAGATCTGCAATATAAATATATAAATATATATTAAAAAGAAGAGAAAGTGTATGTGTACGGAGCAGGAGTATTTTTGTATTAGAAGAGGCCTATTCAAAAAAAGAAAAACAAAAAAAAAAGATGTTTTCTGAACTAGAAGAAAATGGCAATTTTTTGAGTGCCAACTCAAAAAGCGTGTATTACATTGTAAAAAAACAAAAAAACACAAAAAAAATCAAAAGCAGGGGTTTAGAGTTATTTATATAAATGTTGAAATTTTGCACTATTTTTTAATATAAATATGTCAGTGCTTGTGTTGGTCAAAGCCTCTATCATGTCTACCATGAACCTGTTAAGGGATCTGTGGAAGTGAAGAACAAAGTAGCTGGAAGGGGGTGGAGAGGCGCTGAAGTGGAGCTGCCAGCCCCGAGCGGAGCGGTGAGCGAGACTGCATCTTATGCAAATCCCTAATTTCCAGAGTCCCTGCGCGTGGCCGCACGGCTTTACACATTCCCTACAAAGCAAGAGGAGTTGGTGTGTGTCTGTATGTCATCCCGTAGGATTATTGGAGTGGAAAGGTAAAAGCAAACCTCCCTGCTTCTGAGAGTCGGTAACGGCTGGAGCAGCAGAAATTACTTGATTTTTATTTTCATTTTTTATTTGGACAACCTCTAAGTTGGGGGGGGGGGGGGGGGGGGATGAGAATAAACTTCTGTGTCTGAAGGATCAAAGTGGTTCTCGGTTTATTTCTTTCAATGTCCAACTGAAGGGCCCAATTCAGAGCTTAAAGCGGTGATGAGGGAAGTTACTGTGAGTAAATGGTAACGTGCTCACTGGCTGCCTTTCAGCTGGGCTTTAAATGACATTAACAGTCCGAGCTGAGAAGCGTGGTGGTGGTGAAAGTCATCTTCATTTTGTATTAACTTCCCAAGCTTCTATTTGGGATAAACAGGCTCAGCCGTGTCAGCTGTTTTTTACTGTATTATCCTAGCTAAAAGGGTGTCAGATACAGTAGATGGAAATGAATCTGCTCCTGTGATGTAGTAATTAAAGGTTGAAGAAATACGCTAATGCTTTAGAAGCAAAACCCCCTTTACCTCTTCTGAAGATGTCCTCACCCACAGCAGCATGGTCCCGCTGCCCTCCCGCCCGCCGGGTGTTGAGCGTCTTTAGTTTACCTTGGTTCCAGAAGCATTTTGTCACTATGCTATTGTTTACATGTGTATATTGCGCAGGTGTCTGGTAGGTGTTTGACCCTCGTGGTGAATCTGTATGTGATGGAGCGAGCGCGTGAGAAACCTGAGAGCAGAGAGAGAAAGCAAAAGGGAATAAACCGTGGTTCCGGTCCCGTCCCGCCGGCCGGGAGAGCATCTCCCTGAGCGTGAGGAGGGATGGGTCAGGAACCACACAGAGTGAAGCTTTTACAAGGGGGTGTGCTTACATTTTCTGCAGGATGCTATCTAGTAGAGTGACATAAATGAAAGATATAAAGGCAATAACTATTGTTTTTAAGCAACTTTTCTATTACTTGAAGAAAAAGAAAAAAAAAAAGAACCATGCAAAAGGTTTTGAAGTTCTGACCATTTGAACAATATTTATATATATTTTAAAGAAGAAGATAAATAGCTGAACTTGAAGTTTGATCCTTATTTTTTGCCTTTTTTGTTGAATTTTTGCCTAGAACTAGTCCTGTACCTTCTCGATATTTCAGACTGCTTTTCCACAGCTCTTGAAATCTTCACAGCTTTACAGTCCTGTAACCTAAATTCTGATGACCTAAAACAAAAAGCCGCAAAAAAAAGCAAGTCCAGCAAAGGAATAAATCTAGTTTGTCATGAAAGGTACAAACCTGATGAATTCATAGGAGTTTTTAAATTGTATCTTTCCTTTATGTAACATGTCTATTTAGTGCCTTATTAAAGAAACAGTGACCCTCCCTTTTTAAGAGAGGGGGAAACAAAATCATCGTTAGCATCACAAGTAACCAGCGTCTGGTCTCTTGCTCCTTTGGACCTTGCATTTGGTTTTCCAGGCCCTCCTTTCCCAGCAGTGCTGCCTGCTCCCTGGAGCAGCTCCATGGGCCTGGCCCCGTGGGCTGCTGCCGCTGCTCTTCTCCAGCTGTTTGTAAGGGAACTTGAACACATTTATGCACATTATCCTACCCGGGGAGGTAGGAAATCTGTGGTGGATATTGTAAATGAGATACCAACCAAAAGAGAAACAGAAATATAATATCTACTGCCCTCTTGAGCCAAAATGCGTGAATAGTGTTGTTGGGGTTGCTTTCATTTTAGGGGGGAGGGAGGGGATGTGGGTCTGTGATCTGAATTAGTTTGTTTGCTACAAAAAAATGGTTACCTCAGCAGGTTTTGGGTGGAATATGCATCACACGTTTAGAAGTGAGCAGTGAATGAGGAGGTGTTGTGGGGACCGGAGGTTGTTAAGTAACGGGATTGTCTTGTCGGGTGGTGTCACTTGGCCACCAAACCCCGCAGAGAGGTCAGGGAGGTGGGCAGGGTTTGGAGAGGCATGGAAGGGTAGCGGAAGAGGGTCTAAAAATGCAGTGCAATTAAACCCAGCTCTTGTGCTTTGGAGTCCTCAAAATTTCAACCAATTCTCTTTTTTTTTTTTCCCTTTTTATCTCTTCCCTGCGTGATCTTTTCTTTTCTCAAGCATCAGCCCAAGCATCTGCAGTTGAGTGATCAGTTTGTTGAGTTTCTGGGTCCAGTTTCAGTTACCTCTTTCTCTACTTTGAGGAATTTAATGAGTGTGAAAAGGGGCAGCTCATCAGCACCAAATTGCTATTGCAGGCGCTGCCTTTCAGTCCATGCCATGCACAAACAAAACCCAAGCTGCCAGTCCAGGTTCCTGGGGAGCGGTGGGGTGCAAGCCTGGTGGGGGGAGCCCTGGGGACCAGGCAGTGGGTGGCACTCGAGTCCACCTCAGTGGAGCCTTTTGTCTTTGTTCTGTCCATCCCTCTGCTTTGCAGTCCCAAGAACTGTGTATTTCAAGTGCAGATACCAGATCTGGGGTAACTCCAAGTTCTGAATGGGTGTTTAAAAATAATGGTCTGTTCTTTTTTATTATTGTTGTTGTTATTGTTGTTGTTATTATTATTACTATTTAATATTACTTTTTGCCTCGGGGTCCATTTTTCCCCAATTCCCACATCCCGTATTGCCACCAAGGCAGAGAATTTGCTTTGCACACCCTTGCTAACGTCTCTACTCATTTCCTTCTGGCCTTCATGCAGCTCAGGAGGAAACTGTAGTACAAGCTGGGCTGCAGTCCTGCTCCGTAGGAGTTTCTAGCATCTTGCAGCTGCCAGCAGAGAGATTCAGGCCCCTCAAGAATGATTTATTTTTAAACAAATATAGAAGAAACAAGGCATTGCTGATGCTTAGCAACCTCTTGTCCTAGCCTGCCTTTTTGCTTGAAGTTTTAAGTCACGTTAGCTTTAAAAGGGGTTGTTAATCTCACAGAGTTTCTTAGCTTACAGTACGGCAAACAGCATCCTCAAAGTGCCCCCAAATCTTTATGGCTTTGTCGATCAGGATGGTGAGGAAGGATGGGTTTCATTTGGGGCTGACACTGGTACAACTTGTGTTCCCTTCACAACCCTTGATTTCACCAGTTTGAAAATTCAGCTTTACTAATCTAGTGCGTTGTTTCCATGAAGTGTTACGAAATTCATTCTGTCTTAAGCGGGGGTATAAGGAAATTCAGTTGCGTTCTGGAGACTCACCCTTTTGTATGTGTATTGAACTCCGAATTGCACTAACTGCTATCTTACAAAATAAACGAAAGCCCAACATACTTTACTAAGGATCGGGAACAGACTGAACCCAGATGTGTAGCATTAACAGTGCTAGGTGAGAGCAGAATGAATTTGTGATGTCTCTGTGTCGCTCAGAGATTTTCTATGTACCACACAAAGCTACAAACACAAGTTTTCCAGAAACTGCGCTTCAGATTTTTGCTGTACTATAGAAGCTCATGAAGGACAACAGTAAAGTCCTAATTTGCCTGCCTTATAGACACATTTCATTGTATTAATATTTTCTTAAACTTCCAGTTGCATTGCGTTGGCTTTGGAGTTTGTTATAGGCAGTCCTGTATCCTGAGTTCTGTTCAAGTTTAAACTTATGTAAACTATTGACAGCACATGCAATGCAGTACTTATCTATATTTTGCTGGTTTAGTATGAATATGTACTCTGATGCCAATTTACAAAAACCTGTTGTAAGCGCTTATTGTGTAACAGTAACCGATAGTGGCAATTATATGTCATTCTAAAAGCTGCAATACTTATACAATAAATTTTACAATACTTTGGAAAATTTGCCTTCACCTTTTGCTTTGTTACCCAAAACTCAGAGTTTGCCAACACAATGTAATTTCAAACGCTTTTCCTGTTTTCAAATATTGGAAAATGAATATTCTCAGTTCTTTCTATCTGTGTGATTTCTTGCCCCCTTCCTTGTTAAGGAGCCTTCTGAATAACAGGCCAACCTCTGTATTGCCACAATGCGTGTTTTCCCGTGAAGCTGTAGCTGGTTCCCGGTGTATTTGCATGCTCGGTCCTTGTGTGCGTGTACAATTCTGTTTTCTTTTGAGTAGATCAGGTGTCACAGCTTTAATCCCAGAAGCATTCCTGGTTTGCACCAATATGTCCAACACTTGCGATCCTGCCTTTCAGCCAAGAACATCACTGATGGTCAGAAGGTCTTAACTTGAATAACCGTCAATCAACAAGAACTGCGTAGATTGACTCAAATCCTAAGCACAGATAATTTGTGTGAGTTTTTCCTTTCTGAGACTGTGGTCAAGTTGCAGTGATCACATTAAAATGATTGAAAACTTAACTGTTTGCAGGGGGTTTTCTTTTTTGTGTTTCTGAAGGATGTCCTATAGATTTACCCAGCTCTTGGCTTCCCTCTTGGGGCTAAGGAGTGTTTAGTGATTCATCCCTAGGCTTTACCTGAAGGCTGTCGGCTCTGCCTAAGCCCTCAGTCTCCCCAGCTCTTCTCTCTGCCTGATTGGAAGCCTCTGTTGAAGTCTTGGCCCCTGGCTGTTACAAGCAGTCCCTCCAGCTGATTTGGATGGGCAAGTGGTGGACACTTGGCTTTTACATGGGGGAGCTGTGAGCACAAGTAGCTCCTGTGGACTTCAGTGGGAAGACTGAATGCTCTGCCGGGCTGGTTACTTGCCAGACAGCCCTGAGCTGATGGCCAGTTGGCAAAATATCACTAGTAATGACTGAAAGCAGCTTAGGTGCAGCACAGGAAGGAGGACCCCAAATCCCACGTGCCAGCTCTGATCCTGGAGCTGTGCCACTTGCCTCCCGTTTTGCTGGTGTCCTCTGTGTATGGCTTAGGGGGATACAGTATTGAAAAGCAGTTGTGTTGGGTTAGAGCACTACAGTTTTTCCCCAAGGGGAGCATTGCTGCATGGCCCATAGGTAAGGCTCTCCTGGCTTCAGGGAACACTCACCAGCAACTGACCACAGGCTCTGATGAGCCAGATACCCAACCAAGTCCAGTTCGGAGCCTTTCTACCTTTAGACCCAAATGACTCAACATATCCCGGTATCAGCAGCTGGAATGTAGCTGGGGTTGTCTGCCAGGGGACTGTCCCCGCCTGCTCTCAGGGCCATGGTGAGTGGTGGGGCTTCAGGCCTGGTGCCATCCTCATGCCCCAAGAGAGCCAGAGGTTCCCAAAGAGCTGAGGAACCACTCGGAGGAAGAGTGTGTTGCTGGGCAGGCTTGGTTCATGAGCAGCACTACGGGTACATCGCTCTCATTGCCATCTTAGAGCAGAGGACACTGGCCCCAGCTGGTTGGGCTCATAGGTGAATCGGTGAGTGATGATTTGGAGGTGCAAGTGGACTTCTCGAGGCATCACGGAGCATTTGAGGTGATGTATTGAAGGTACCAGCGGTGTGCTATATGCAGTACTGCTCTATGCTGCCAGCACTTGGTGCCTTCCAGTCCATTTACAAACCACGAGCCATTGGCCAGGGGCCTGTTTTTCCTCTAAATCATGTTGTAAATGAGCAGAACCTGCTTACTCCGTTTCAGCGACTGACCAGCTTTCATATGAGTGTTTGGGGCAAGAATGATGCTCTGTCCCAAAGCTGGGCTCTTCAGGGACAGTACCCTAGCAGCCCAGGCAGACTTGAGAGGAGGCTGGTGGCAGTTCCCAGGGGGGCTGTGCAATGGGGTAGCATTTAGGAAGCAAAATCTGCCTTTTAGCCTAAGGGCATGGACCAAAACAGGCAATGGTCCATTGCATGTGTTCAAACAGGTAATGAAGACGTGACCTTTGTCTTCACTGCAATCCTCACTGGCCCTGCTCCTGCCCCAGCTGCCATGCATGTGCAACCATGGTCGGGATTAACCCACGAATGGTGGGAGCTCTGCAGGACTGACATGGCTTACGGAAACTGAGGCCCCCATCCTGAAAAGACACAGATGTCTCATTTTATGCACTGTGAATAGCAGATAATTCAAACAGCTTACTCAGTGTGTAACACTGCACACGGGAGTCCTGTGGCATCAGGGCCAGCAGGAAGAACCAGGGTGAAAACCCACAGCGGGGATGATTTGATTTGCTTTGACTGAAGAATGTGACACCACAGGCTGCGAGGGGCAGCATGGCCGGAGGGGGGACAAGGGGCTCAATGACTTTGGTGTGATGGTGATGGCCCCAGCACTGTCTTGAGCAGCTCCAAACACACTTTCCCACCCCATGTCGCAAAGCAACACCAAAATGCCACATTTCTGAGAGGGGGCAATGCCCCTGCCCCAACCTCAGGATCACAAGTATCCAAATGGGAAACATCCACCTTGGTGAGGTGGGGGAAAGGACAGGGTTTGGTTTGAATCACTGCTTGGAAATGACATTTCTCACTTTCAGATTCGCAGCTGAAACCAACAATCTTCCCACAGAAAAAAAAAAAAAAGAGAATTCAGCTGAAACCACATTTTCCAAAGGGGAATTTTTTTAAATGAAGAAAAAATTCCCAAACCCCAACCCAGCCAAGTTCAACTAGCGCAGTGCGTGGGAATGGGCAGAGAAATGTTGTTACTAAGCTACCTTTCCGCGGCTAATGAGGTGAGCTGGGGACACTGCGGCACGCCTGGCTGGCAAAAGAGTATTTTTAAACCTTTTTTTTCTCCTTTGCAACTCAGTTGAAGAAACAATTTTGTGACTTTTGGAAACCACAAGGGGTGAAGCCTTTGATTTTAAACAGATTTCTGTGCTGCAGATTGAATGGGACTTGAGAAATCAGACTCAGCTTTCCCCTGAGCTCCCAGCATCAGAACCCTTTCTGCAGCGCTCCTGGCCCTCCCTGCCTGCACAACCTGGAAGGTGCAAATTCCAGCTTCAAAGCATCTGAACTTCACAGTAGCTCTCCCCCCCCCCCATTTTTGCCTCCATATTTTACCTGCTTGTCCCAGCCCCAACTCTTCCCCTCTGTCTGCCGGCAGCTCCTCTCTGGCAGTACCCAAGTACCCACCTCAGGAGCTGTGCTAGCTAACCTGCTCCTCTCCCTAGCTGGTAACTCAGGTCTCACGTGTCCACTCATGCCATGTCGATGCGTTCAATCCACTTTGTGCCTGGAGGGCACGAGGCAAACACCCCCAGGGCTTGCTCAGCTCCAGGCCTGGTGCTCAGGGATGGTGCCCTCCCAGTAAAGGCAGAGGAGATGGCTTGGGGTGCTCTGAGATAGGGAAGGTGTGAACCTGCAGTCAGCCTCTTGCTTTTTAACCTTTCTCTCAGGTTTTTGCCTCCAAGCTGCTGGTCCCAAATCTCCTGCGCAGGCTGAGACCTGCCCCACTGTCAGGAGACGGGAAGCACGGACCAGGGACAGACTCCCCCAAGTAGGGTAGCTGGAAACATGAATTCCCCCTCATGGTGGGTGTTGCAGTGATGGGTTACACTGAGAAAGCAACCTGCTCTCACAGGAGTCCTTGCTGTTGACTATCCTGACTGTAATGGGAATTTACTCCAAGCACTTGCTGCTGTTAAAGACTCTAGAAATTCCCACTGCTTTGGCATCAAACAAGACCTTGTAACAGTGTTAGCAGCAAAAGCAGAACACTGGCCAGGAGAAGAGGACATAATCCCTGCCTTATGCTCCTGGACATGATCAGCCTGGAAAAGCACGGCTCAAGGTTCGTTTAATTTAAGGTCTGGTGGGATCAAAGCTGCTTCCCCCTCCCTCTTTGCCCTTCTCAAGAGCCCTGCAGACAGCTCAACCCCTCCTTTGAGCCCGGTGCAGGGAGACCCGTGGATTTTCCTTGGTGAGTAGGCAGGGTGCTTTGACCCAGGTGGGCACAATCCTGCCTTGGCCCAGGAGGCAGATTTAAGCAGCTCCAAGGAGGCTGTGGGGTTTTTCTGCTCCTGTGCTGAGTAGGAGCTGGAGGATGTTTTGAAGAGTGTGTTTCAAGCCACCCTTTGCAGCTGTGTGAGGTGGGGCTGGGCTGTGGTGTGGGGATGCCCCGGGTTTCTGGAGCTGTTGGGGTGATGTGAAGGAAGAAGCAGCCACTTCAGAGCTTGTTCTTTGTGAAGGGAGATTGAGATTCAAGGCATTTTTTAGGCTACCCAGAGCTGGGCTCCGGGGTGTCCTGGAGCCGCGTGCTGCAGGAGCTGTAGGTGTGCTTTGCTGTCCTCTGTGGCTGGAAGTGCATCCATCACTGCAGCTCTGGGGCTTCCTCCCTGGCTGCCTTCCCTCCAGGAGAACATGAGCTGCTGCTCCCATGCAAGCAGGGCTTGCTGCCTGCTGGAGAGCATCCCTGCCTGCTGGGGGTGTCATTGGCTGTGCTGCTCCCCAGCTTCTTCCCTGGCTCTGCATATGGAGAACCTGTTGTCAGGTAAGATTAAAAGGTTCATAAATGGAATTGAAAGCTCTGGACTAGGCAGAGGAAAGGTGACATAAACTGCTCTATGCAGTGTGCTTGGAGTGGGATTTGCAATGCAGCAATGTGGGAGAGTGCTGACTGCTGGTCTGGATTCATTCATTAGTTGTCAGCTCCTGGTGGGTACTTGTTCCTCCCCCTCATGCAGTCCTGACTCTCAGTTCAAATGCACACAGTTGCCTTGAGATTGATTATTAGCAGCAGCAGTAAATCACAATCACAGCAGCCAGGGGTGAGTTTTGGATGCCAGTCAAATTGCAGCTCCTCAGAGTATTTATCCCTTGTGACGTCAGGGAACCTGCACACTGAACAATTAGAGCAGGGTGGCTCTGTGAAGTTGCATTTGATTAAGAGAGTAACTCTGGATGTACAAAGCTATTGCTTTGGGGCTGATGTGCATGGCTAATAAGCAGCTTGCTTTGTAAGGAAGAGACTGGAGACTTAAGTATAAGGCACCTTCACCACATTGCTCACCTAGCAGCATACTGCACAAGGCATGTGGCATTGCACCAAGCTCCTACCTTCTCTTATCTGCTGGGGCTTTGCTATTGTCAAGGCAGAAATGGAGAGAAAAAGGTGGCTTTTGCTATATTGGAAGCTTGGCATTCATGTCATATCTAGTTTCCCAATACCAAAGAAGCTATGAGGCTACTTTAAAAGACCTTTAAGATAGATATTGTGCAGTGTTCAAGGCCAGGGCCTTGGATGACATGGCCTCATGTGAGGTGTCCATGCCCATGGCAGGGGATTGGAACTGGATGAACTTAATGACCTTTCCAATCCAAACCATTCTGTGATTCTATGATGTACCTGGCCCAGGGAGGTGAATGTCTCTGCTGTCCTGGGGACCGCAGCCGTGGCCATAGCTCCTTTGCTGATACTGTAGCGTCCAGTTAACATTGTCAGTACCAAGGGCTACCTTTTTGCAAGAGGTGTTTACAGTGTTTTAGTACTTGGGCCCGTTAAGATGAATGAGAGTTAGGCATCCAAAACATGTAAGGGAGCGTTAAAACAGCATGCATTCATACAGTCGTGTAAAGCCAATCCCTTGGGGGTGCTTGGTGGTGTTTTGAGGAGAGTCTGAGTAGCCCTGGAGTAGTCAGCATTGCTGATGTGAGTGCAAGGAGGGAGCTGGGTTGGATTTTAACTCAAGGTGAGCGCACACCAATGTCTTTCTCAGGGAAGATTATGCGCTATAAGCACACGTTCACTCCAGACAATTTATTAATGTACTTGTGTGTCACTGCACACAGATGGGTTTTTTCCTTTAATCCCAAACCAAGGCTCTGCAAGGTTCAGATGAGCATAATCAGGTTAAAAAGCAAATGATGCACAACCCTGGTGGGCCCCAATGCTTTCTTATTCTCAGCTCTAGTCTTCTGCAAGAGCTGCTGCTCTGTAAAGCCGCTCTCTTGATTTCTTGTTCTGAGGAGGAAAGCTTGAGGGTCCCCAAGAGCCTGGCTCCCTGCTCCCAGGGCAGCCCTCCCATGGGAACGGAGGGGCTGGGGCTAAATATGAACTGGGGAGGTAAAAAGGGGAAGTGGGGAGGAGGAGTAAGAGGATCTGTTTGTTTTCCTTCTGATCTCTGAGCCCTGTTATGTTTTACTGCTTTGCAAACGGGAGGTCTGGAAAGCTTCCTTTCCTCCTGCGCCAGTGCAAGGTCAGCTGGGTGCGTAATTCCTGCACTTGAAGGAAAAAATACTGAATATGACCAGATTTACGGTAATGCCAGAAGAGTGGCATGAAACTGGAACTCTATTTACCCTCTCCAGGCCAGATTTTACTGTAAATGCCTAAATAATCTACTTATATAAGCGATTCCTGCAAACTTGCACAGTGCCCGGATGCACTTGCACCTTGCTGCTGAGAACTGATATCTGATGAGTAACCTGTGGCAGAAGAGCAACTTTACTGCAGAAAACCCCTACACAAGGTGACGCAGGTATGTGCTTTTCATGCAACACATCTCGAGGAAGGTGAGGCACCTCCAGAACACTTGCTCTTTACGTGTGTGTAAGCATGTGGTTGCTGTTCTCTATAGCTTGGCGATGCTTCAAAGGAAACTCTTCCGTTTTGGGGTGTGTGGTGTTTGAGTAGCTGTGTTGGAGAACAAAGGGACAGTTTCAAGGAATATAATTGAGACTTCTTGCTGTGTAGAGAAGCACAGGACGAAGCACGGCTTTAAGGAAGTAGGCTAACTTTAAACAGATTATTCAAGTTTACTCAGTTCTTCAAGTTCGTCAGAAGATGCCCAACTTCTTGCTGAGGTTTCAGCCCTGAATCGAGGTCTTCTCAGGATGAGTCATAAGCAAATGCAAAGAGCTGTGAGTAATAGCTGGAAGCAAATGTGAGTTTGGAAATGGGCTTTGCCTTTTCTTTTAAAGTTTTGGTTTATGGGAAAAGGCATCGGTTTCATTTTCCTGCTCTGGCTTTCAGTACCACACGTGGGTGAAAGGGCAGCCGTGAGTCGCTGCTTCTGCGTGTGCTGCCTGTGTGTGTGGGTTTCTGACACCCTCAGGAGACTATGCCCATTGCTCACTTTTTGTCTCGGTTTTCAGCTTCTGGACCGATTTTAGGACTTGGGCAAACAACACCAATCTAATCCAGCATAGGGATGTGTTGCTCTTAAATTCTCCGTTATCAGTCTTATGCAGAAAAAAACCCCAAGCCCTCAGGGACTGCGTCCTGTTGTCCTCCATCCCCATGTGCCACCTGTGTGTGCTGTCTTCCTCTCTGCCTCTGGGTTCCTGTTAACCCAGGACTTCTTCATGGCTTGAGAAACGAAGTTCAGCTTCAGGAATAGCCCAGTCCCCTGGTCCTGTCCTTCAAATCATCTCAATGTCCTCACAGCAAACTGATGGGTGGCACTTCCCAGCACTGTGACCCCTGATCTGCCTGTCCTGGAGACTGGTTTCCTCTCCAGAGCTGGCTGAGATACACGGTGGCAGTGCAGGACTTGAGTGGAATCAAAGCTGCATTTTAATTGTAAACGTTTGTCCAGAAATTAATGTTTCTGAACTAATGTTTCTCTCCAACCAATGTGTTCAGAAACAAATGACTCTCGCTAATTGATTTTCCCCATATAATGGGGGATGTGTCCCTGCCCATGGCAGGGGGGTGGAACTAGATGATCTTAAGGTCCTTTCCAACCCTTACTATTCTATGATTCTATGTACATGGAGAAAATCAACCCTGTGTAATTGAAAAGGCCCTTCTTTCAGTAGGTACCTGCATAACTGCTCAGCGGCTGCGTGTGCTTGTCCTCTGGCAGTTAGCACCTGCCTGTCCAGAGGGGGTTAATTCTTGGTAATTTTTGTTTCCTGAGCTGGATTAAGTGTTAAAAATCACCATAAACAGGCTTCCAAGTCTACTGAGTTTGCTTATAGCCCCAGGTAAGTGTACCCGGAGGAGGAATGTTACTGATGGCTTCCTCCCTTGGTTGGAACGGTGTATTTAATGTCCTCACACCTCTGAGATCAGCAATTCCACCATTTGTCCCAATATGTAGAACAGTTTTGAGCAGCGTGGAAGGGCCTTTTGGCAGCTGACTGATGGCTCTTCCACAGTGAAAGTGCTTTGCTCCAAAGCCCTCATCTCTGCTATGCCAAACCAATGGCCTCAAAACCCCAGAAACTGAGTAGAGACCTGATCGTCTGAGTGGGAGCAGAGTATAAAAATAAGTGTAAAATAAGTTGTAAAACTGAAAAGCTGTGATTCATTGCTTCTCGTACAAGGCAGGTGAGATCTTGCCCTGGTGCAAACCAGCTCCCAAAGGTGACAACAGATTTCAGTTGCCTTAGGAGGGTAAAAGCAAGTCCTGCATGTCACTGGTGCATAGATCAGTGCGTAAAAGGAGACCTGCAGGGTCAGTGTCCCACTCATCTCTCACCTCCCTTTGCTGTTTTGGGTGCCTTAGCCCAGCAGTGCATGGAGCTCTCCTGCCAGCAGAGAGGGGGTTCCTCCGGGAAGTGTAGGAAATGGTCAAAATGCAATGGCTGTGTTTCATTTGGCAGCCTATGGGTGCTGAGGGGAAGTCAGGAAAGCCCAGCAGGGGAGGGAGCTGAATCAAAAGGAGCAAATGGGCTTTGAACATCTGCCAGCAAGAGAGGGAGCTAAGCGAATGGCTTGGCCTTTCCAAAGGGGCTTGTGGCAAAAGAGGCCCTATCAGAAGGGCATGTGAGCAGTGCAATTCGGAATGCAGGGTTTGCATGGGGTGAAGTCAGCTGTTCACATGAGCTGGTCTTAACACCTCATGTGATGGAAAAGGTTAAAATGTGTTTGGGGCTCTTTGTGAAAGGTGCTGTGAAACCCAGGAATTAAGAGCTTGCTGACAGCACAGTGACATGGGATGGAGCATTGGATGACACAGTTATATTTACTGGCTGCTTGAGGGTCAGATTCTACCCATATGAGATTTGTAAGTGGCCACAAGATCACTGCTCTCAGCTTGCACCAGGAGTGGCTACACAAATGTAGGGTTTGGCACCTTTGAAAGGTGGGGATTACTTGGAGCAACTTCCCAGCCATTTATTCATCACTGGAGTCTGAACCTTGGAAATCCTGAAATCCAGGAGCATGGAGGAAAGAGAGACCACAGCCTGGGGCATCTCAGGGTGAGCGTCCCAGCTACCTGGTGGTCACAAGCAGGGAGAGCTCACAAGCTGGGCTGCACATTGTCCTGACAGCTGCTCAGTATCCCAGTCTACACATGGAATAGACATACCTATTGCCAGTGTATGGCAATGGCTCACCGTGTCCTTGATGGTACTAGTCACCTTTGCTTCCTACAACCTTCTCACTGCACACCTTCAGTAGCAGCCCATGATGGATCCCAGCAGTTATTTAGCATTTTACAGCAGTTTCCTTGTGTTGCTTTGACATCTTTTACTATCAGCCTGAACAGGCAAAAGTAATCAAGGTTTGTTCAAAAGTAATTCTGCATGATGGCTTCTCTTGAGGAGCAGATAATCTGTTTTTATTTATTTATTTGTTAATAAAACTGCATAACAAAGGATTTAATCATTCCAGTGATACTGAATGTAATGTACTTGCCATAATTAATGCCACTACTAATGGCTGATTGGAATTTTTTCCTTAATTGTATCATTAAGATACATTTCATGCATTAATTTTTTTTTGTAAAATGACAGCTAAGCTCTCCTGCCTCACATCTCCCACTTCCTGATTCTATTACTTCACATGGGAGGCCTTTCACAGCTTTTCCTTTCCAGGGGAAATTGAGTGGGTTTTGGTTAGATATGCCAATACATTCCAGGTTAGCAAAGCTTTTCTGTGCTCTTTGTCGATGTTAGTGGTGAACAGATGCACTGAACTTTCCCCTTCTTGCTGGCCTGGAGTTCATGCAAAATAGAGGTGCGGGAAGTGTCAAGACCAATCTGCAGGTGTTATTGCATGCCCTGCTGCACGAGTGGGAGGTTAAGGTTGGGTAAACCTTGCCATGTCTGGCCCAAAGACAGGACTCCTGGGATCAGGGACTCCAGACTCAGAGGGGGTGATGTGTTGATCCAAGGATTCAGCGGCAAAAGCTCCCAGATGTTGATCACATAAACTCCAGCTGCTGGAGAAGAGTTGGAAGCTCCCAGCAGGTCCATGCCCTGCTACAGGGAACAGACAGAGCTCAGCTGTGAGAAACAGGATAGGACCTTCTGTGTGTCTCAGGGCTTCCCTCCTGGACGTGTGCAAGGTTTCCTGCTTGCTCTTTGAAATTAAGTCAGCTTGTGTTTGCAAGGCTACAGCCAATCACCCACAGCAAGCCCAGCCTTCTGGCAAGGCATCTAGGAGGTGTATGAATCGGTGTGGTCCATTGTGGTCCAAAATAGGACCTAGAGCCCTTGGCAATGGTGATGTGTGTGGATTTGTTTTGGATGAGTAAATACAGTTTTCACTGGATGAGAATTTGTAGTTATGTTTGTAATTCCCAGCTGCTCAGAGGGATGGGAGTGGTGTGGACTCTGGTTTGTGCCTTTTCTGACTGCAACTCCCTCCCAAATCTGGATTCATTGTTACATGACTACACAAAGGCAAAATTCAGAGGAGGGTGCTTAGGAAAAAGGGGAATCTCTGGCTGGAATAATGACTACAGAAAACATTAAGATGCCTTGAGGGGCAGATAGTTTTTGCTTGTCTTTAGCATCACCGCTGGATTTTGAACTGAGAACAGTCAAAACTGCCTCAAAGCCAACCAGATTGCTACTGCTGTTTGCCTTGCAAAGCCAGAAGCCCAGTGTTGTACATGCTAACGAATGAAAAGCAGGTAATGCAAGTGGATTTGTGCAGCCAACAGAGTGGGAACTTCCATGCCAGGCTATACACAGCAACTAGCAAATACTTTGAAAACCTTTCAAGATTTTACTGCAACATTGACCGTGGGAAGCATTTGGGAGCAGGCTTTTGTTCTCAGTACTATAACCATGCTGCTGACTCAACGAGTCCTTGACCTCAATTAGTTGCATTTGTCATTTGGAGTCCAGTGGGGATGAAGTCAATTGCCTCTCTCTTTCTCTTCTTTTTTTCCCATCCTTTCTTGCTCGATGTATGACAGAGCTGAAACTTGGCTAAGGCATAAATTCCATCCAGCACTTGACAGGTTTTGCCCTAACTGTGTCCCGGGGGATCCACAGAAGAAGCAGAGGAACCCTTTGGACTCTGTAAAGCTACTGCCAACAGAGGGGAGTCCTACATTAGAAATGTCCTGCTAGATAGGCTGCACATCTGCTTTGCTACTGACCTGCTCAAAGCCCTGAGCAAGAAACTTCATGGTTTCTTCTTATATGGTCTCTTCTTTTGAAAGTGATGGAAGACATTCACTTACAACATCCTAGTCACATGAAGCTCATTAGGGATAGCTTGCTTACCATCTATAACAGGTGTTGTCAACCCTGAATGGTTTCAAGCCACTGGAACACTAGTACACCATGACCTGCTGGAACAGGGTCTATGTTGTACTGTCAAGCTCTGGAAGTCAATAACCTTCATGTTGTCTCACAGGTAAAATAACTGCCAGGGTTTGTACATCAAAACAGAGGGCTTTAGGGGCTGCTTGTTGGAAATACAATGCAGAAGGATGTCAATTCTCATGTTACACAAACTGCAGAGGCAGAGTTTTGACTTCTGATCAAACACAAAGCAGTCAGGTATTGTTCTGAGATGTATTTTTTTGTTACACTGGGTGTTGGGTAACACTTCAAAGAACTTTACCCTTTTGGTTATTGATACTTTCAGTTAGCCAGCAAAAAGTTCTCTTTGGGTTAGAGACCACTGACTACTCTTCAATTTTCTGATGCTTTTTTTTGAGTTACTGATGTTAATGGTTATTGCTGGTTTTATCTTTAACCTTTGTGGTCAGGAGTGGGGATGCTGGCTCTGAGCTGCCTGTGCTGTGACAGTGAAGACGGCAGTGGATAAAAGGAGTTGGAAAACCCACTGAGCTCCTCCTCCTTGCAGCCCTTTGTAAAACTGGGCTAAGTCTGAGACAATGCATTTTTGGCTCTATATAGGAATGAGACATCATGAAAAAACAGATTTATGCCAGAAAAACAGAATACAAAATGAAATAGAACTTGCTTCTGCCATCAGAAAAGTTGCACTTGGTTTCAGCTCCTTCCTACATTGGGCAAATGGCAGTCTGAGACATTACAGAAACATTAGATACCAGAAAGAGCTAAATAAGAGGTGTGAGGAGCACTGATTTCCACTGTATAAAGTAGTGCGATACCACTCACATCTTTCTCCTAGCAAGCTGAATTTCCAGTTCAATTTTGCTCATAGACGGTGTCAAGAGAGCTTTGTCAAATGCTTTTCCCCCAAGTCCCTTCTTGCTGTCATTGTTAGTAACAAATTTTTGTGTTTTATTTCAGGATTTTCAACAAATTTTGGAACCAAACTGAGCACCATTAATTGTTGTTCTCTGCATAAACCAACAACATAATTTATCAATGTGGCAACAACAGTAATGTTTGTATTTCCCAGTTTTGAAATACTTGGATTGGAAATGACAACATTAAAATTGAAAATAATGGTAATTATCTCTCTGCAAACGTGTTTTGTTGCTACAGTCGATATCATCTTTGAAACCAGCCATGAACAGAAGTCACCATAAGCAACAATAAACTAAAAATTCATTTTCCTAGAGATTGTTGCACTGCATCTGTTGTGTGGGAAATAACTCTGATTTTTGTGGTTTTGTTTGGAATTTAAGAATGGTTTGTGGATGGGAAATTTCAAACCAATACCATCAGGAAAAATCAACTGCTTCTATTTAGCTAAATCTGAAATGTTATATGATAATATGAGTGGTTGTTTTTAATGCAGTGTGTATGCATATATATGTATGTGCACCTTGAGATCAATATTAATGTGGAAACAAGACACTTTCGGTACCAAAATGAGAAGGAAACATCAACATAATTCTTCACACTTTCCTACTGGAAAATGCCAAATGTTGTATGTTGTCAAACTGTGGGCAACATAAAATTGGGTATGATTGAGTTGAGCACTGCCTGAGCCCAAGGGAGCCATGTTTCCTCCCAGAACCAGGACCCCCAGCACCACTCTCACTGCCAGGGTCCTCAAGGACCATGTCAAGGGGCTTGGTGTCTCCTGCCTGGCCCCTGCAAATCTTGGTTGGTTCATCCACAGCGGGTTTAAGCTTCAATTACTGAATTGCATTTGTAGTTCCTCCCTGGAAAACAATGTACCATTGCAGGGCAGGGAAAGGATGTTTTAGGCTGTATTTTGTACCTATTCCTCCCTTCTGGGGAGCAGTCATTGAGCAGTAGCTCTCCAGCATCAGCAGTGGAGGCAAGAATCAAACGAGTGCTGTGGGCACTCCTGCTTTGGGGCAAGAGGAGGCAGGAGCTTTGAAGGTGAGGTGACACCCCACAGCTGGACTCAGGGAGTGACACCAGGTGTTAGATGGGGGCCAGCACCAGCTCCTGCAGGCATTTAACACCTCCTTGGATCCTTATTTCACTTTAATTTATTGAAATGATTCCCTTATGAACTAGTTCCTGATGTCCTTATTAACCAAGGATTAATTAATTATTAATTAAGCAGCCCAGGCTACTTATTAATTCAACTTGTTAATTAAGTATAGGGTGCTAATGAGGCAGCTTGTAAATGGAGTTGTCGGGGAGGTGAGGATGGGGAGGAGGATCTCTGCCTGGTTCTTGTTGCAGAGCCAGGAATGGGGCTCCTCATATGGCCATTGGTCATGGGAGTTTCCTGAGCTGGGTCATGTAGTCACAGCTTGGGAGAAGCTTTATTCCTGTTGACAACCCAAAAGTAATCTGTCAAGAAGAGATTCCAGGACTTGCAGGCCAATATTTCAGTGCTTCACACAGGACTAAGCTGCATAAGCACTGGGACAGGATCAGTGTGACCACGGGATGGAGGTAAGGAGAATGACTTGGAGGTGTGGGAGATAATGGGCACTGGTGGCTTCCTGCTTTTGTTAGCCTTAAAGAGATTCAGATGGGAATTATGCTCCTGGAAATGACTTTCGAACAGGATGAGAAAGATGTGCAACTTATGGACAATAAATAGAGTAAGAGACAAATAGGAGTCCTCTGTTTTGCTGGAGCTTTTGCAGTGAGCAAGAGGCATATATCTCTTTGTGGTAAATTAAAGCTACCTGTGATGCTTCCCAGCTCTGCTCCGTCTTCTGTCTGCAGGATCAGGTCAGGATCCGTTAGAGGATGGAGCTGCTAAGCCGTGCTCCTTTGTCTCCATGGAGCTGCGAGGACAAGTCCCTTCAGTGTTAAAGCTTTGTGAGATCACCCCATGCAAGCATCTGACTGCATATTAGCATCAGGTAATCAGGACTGACGTGGTAATTTCAGATGCCTTCTCTGAAAAGCTTGCTGATGGGCAGTTTCTTGTTGCCAGCAAGGCTTGAACGTCATTGGTTTGTTCCACTGCTAATGCCATTCCCCAGGCGAGCTGAAAATAAAACCATTTCTAATCACTTCTCAAAGTTTCTGAAAAGAGCTGGGGGAGGGAGAGAGCTAATGAGGAAAACAGCTTTGGAAACAGAAGAACATTCCCTGAAGTCAACAGCCTAAAAAAACTTGGGTTTGAATATTCATTTCTACTGAGATTTTCTATCGCTATAATTAATTTGTCACAAATGCACTGACAAAGCATTTCTGGTGGAGTGATGAAGGCTAAAGGCAGAGGTTTACTTAGTGTCTTTTGAAGAAAAATAACTAGCTATCAAATAACTTTAAACCCTTAAAGCTTTACTGGCCTGATCCTGCTTTCATTAAAGAATGCTGCTTGGCTTTGAAGACAGCTAGAGCTATTGAAAAATGGTTATATGGATTTATTTTTGGTTAATTCAGTCCCCTTCTGGTGTATTGGTATATTATCCACAGACACTTTGACAGGCACAGGATTTATTTTTCTCTTAATAGAGAGGGAAAAGAAAAAACCCTTTAAAGCACCCACAGAGCTGTTCAGGGCTCAGTTCTGCTGATTTTTCCCCTTTCTTTCTTCAGTAACATCAGGGTCCTTGGGATGCTTACGTGAAGTAAAAGATGTCTGACAGCAGCCAAATAGCAAATCGATGGCAAATGTCTCAAATGACTGACATGTAAAGACATCTGCCTCGTTAGATCAGCTCACTGCTCTCTGCTGGGCAGGTTTGCACCACCAGTGATGGTCAGGTTGGGGAATTAAAGGAGGAAATCTTCAAGACTTTGTCTTTCTGCCTCCCAAGTAATTGCTGCATGAGTCATGGGCAGGACATCCTTTGCAGGACCCAGCAACTGACTCAAATCAGAGGGAATATTTTTTTGATGGGATAAGTATCAGACCTGATTCTGTAACCATTACTCACCCCTAGTAGCATTAGTTCAATAAGTCTATTCATGTAAGTAAGCCTTCACTGATGTGAGTAATGGTGGCAGATCCTGGCCCTGAGTTAGTACATGAAACCATCTCAAGCTCAGGAGAAAGCGTCATGACTCAGATCTAGCTTTAAAAAGAGAAGTTTTAAATCCCAAGTTATGATGTGCCATTTGGCTCTTGCTGGAGTTGGTCTAAAAAGGCTGTGCTGAATAATAAAAAAGATCAAGCTTTTGATGTTAAGTTGCATGTTCAAGCATAAACTCCAGCCTTGGTGATGAAGCTTAGCCTGGCTTATTTCACCCAGGCAAAGACACTAAGCAAGACCCTTGCACCAGTTCTCACTTTAGAGGAAATGTCTGTGTACTAAAAAGAGAAAAAAAAGTTTTGACAGATAAGTAATTAGGAAACATCTGGCCAAACCGAAGGCAACTGAAGTGATTCCAATCCAAGGTGGTTCAGTGAAAGCTTTTCATCTCGGCTCCAACAGAAACAGCAAACTTAGCACTTAAAAAACCCCTCCAGCTTTCTGATGAAGTGTTAAAAAGTCAGAGAGCGAAAAGTGCACATACATCCACCCAGCACGAGAGGCTGCGTGGAGGAGGAGAGAAAATACAGAGCTGTGCATACACAGAGGTGTGTGCCAAGGGCCCAGAGGCAGGGCCAGTGTTTCGACACTGTCACGGTGGGTTTGATCCGACTCCCAGCAGCCACATGGCTCTAAGGCTGACACGTTACTGCAGAGCTGATCACTGCATGGTGCTGTGGCTGCTTTGCGAGCCCCTGGTACCCGCTTCCAGCAGCGCCTCCTGCACCGGCTGCTCCGTGGGCCCCCACCTATGGGCACCGTAGGCAGCGTGTGGGCTGGGAGGTTGTTCCAGTCCTGACAGCCCTTGTCTCATTCCTCTCTTTTGAAAGCTTCATCGCAGCTGTGCACAGAGTAATGGAATATCCTTACTGGGGATTTTGAGTGAGTGATGCTCCTTTCAGTAGGTTCTGTTTCACTTGGCATGGGGTTTTGAAGATCTTTCCTCACGCTAGGGAACGCTGGTGGTTTGGAGGCTCCATTAAAAGTAATACTGGAATTGTGTGGATGTTTCCTTCAGCTAATTGCATTGGAAGGATTTTGATGTGCTCAAGAGGTGATGTTTTCTCATGATGTTCTGGCTGTCGCAGTGCCTGCTAGAAATGGTCCTTCACAATCCTGTGAATTTCAAGCAAGTTTCACTTTGAGTTTTGGGGCAAAGTTTTAGACATCTTTTTTCTTCAAACTCTCAAGTTTACTCAGGTCCAACCTCTCCAGCCTCTATGGCTCTTCTTTCACAGCATTCACACATGGTACCTCAGCACTGGCGGACAGGACAGCCACCCCTGTGCCTTGCAGGAACTTGGAATTGGAGCCTGGTCTTGGTGGGGGTTGTTGCTTTTTTAAACTGCCCATTTTCATATTTTTAACACACCAGACTAAAAATCCCAGAGCAAATCTCCTTGCATCTCAATGCTCAGCATCCAGCTGCAGGCTTAAGCTCTGCCAAGCAGGGCAGGAGGAGCTGCAGAGACCTGGAGAAGGAATGGGAGCAGGCGAACCATATATTCCCTTCCATCCCTGCACAGATGAGGAGGAGGGGGAAGGAGAGGATCCGTGTTCTCCTTTTTTTTTAACAGCAGCCATTTTAAGCTGCTTCTTGCACAGCTGGAAATCATTGCGATAGCATCAGCTGTCAAGGAGAGTTATGAGATTTGGCAGGATCCAGAGGGAAAGAGGTAGCAGCTAAACCATTTGTGAATAGTAAGTGCTTCAAAGACATAGCGAGGGGCTCTGGCTCACCGGTGGGTGCCAGCATGGGTCCTAGAGCAGGATGGCGCAGGACCAAGCACTGACCCCACAACAGCACTTGGCAAGGCACGAGGCTCTGTGAGGGTGAAGGGCACCTGCAGGTCTTGAATTGCTCCTGCAGTTTGTTGCCCCACCAGTGTGTCCCCAGGCACAGACAGCTGGAATACCTTACAACTGGGATGGGTTTATTATTGAGTAAGGAAATATGTGCTCTATAAGCCCACTGCCAAAAAACCACCGTAAAGTAAGAACAGGAAGCACACAATATATTCCTTTCCAGATTAATTGCTATTATTTTGATTAAAACACATTATCATATAAATATTTGATTAAGAATGTGATTAAATCTTTCTTGCTCATGAACTGTGACAACTTTCACGTCTAACCTTTTATAGCTTGGCACCACATCATTATTTTGCTCATTAGCTACATTTAATAATTCGATCTC